ATGTTATTACACCTCTTTAAGATCTATTCTATAAGGCAAGACTTGAATATTATTTATGGAGATTGATGAAAGGATTATTGTACGTACCGACTTGAACATATGTCTTGTTTAAAATATCAAATTAATTAAAATTTTTAAAAGTTTAAGTAAAGATAACATAACAACTATATTACTAAAAAATTTTAATCGATTATTTTGCAACCTATTGATTATAATAATAGGTTTAGACAAGATAGATACACTTCTCTTGGGGCTATAATATTAAAAAAATAATATATATTGCTATTATATAAGCTAAGATCAAAAATTATGCAGTATATATTTAAAAAAGAATTTATATAGAGCGTGTATTTATAGAAGGTGTATTTAGTGAAGTTTCCTCTAGTATTTGTCTTGGATTAAAAAAAAAAAAAATCAATACACGTTTAAAATGTCGTAATTCTGTAATTGTTAATTAGTTTAGTCATGTAACTTTTATATCAAGTGAATTTATTATAGACTGGTCAATTAGTCTTTCTTATATCGTATATCGAGAGACTTGTATATATAATTTTTATGAGAACTTGAGAATACACGTTTTGCTGAATAAGCCTTGCATATATAATCTTACGGGATTTTAAGATAAATCCATAAAGTTATTAATAAACTCTTGATATAAGAAAGTTTTACAAAATGCTCTTGCCACCTTTCTTATATCAAAATTTACTCATAATTCATAAATATAAGGATTTAAAACGTTAGCATGGACAGTGGTTATGTAAATTTTATTATTTGTCGGATAAAACAGATATCCGTCAACTGATAGAGGATTCAAGAATCCTATCTTTTCATAGTTTATATCTGGGTCAGATAGGATTCGGATATTCAGGTCACATCACTAGCCTAACGCGTATCTTGTTATTTTTGTGAAGGATTTTAAAAATCGCCTATTTTATTTGCAGTGTCCTGCATTATAGGTATGCTATAATGATAATTTTTTTTATTTTTAACTATTTACAAAATAAATAAATAAAAATTAGTAGTATTACTAGTACGAAAACTTAAAAATATACATATAATAATTTTTGAAAATGGGTATACAGCATGATATATAAAAAAGCATAGCATATATATATAAGAAATACGAATTATATTTCATACTGACTTTTCACTTCGATATGAACATTAATTTCAGTATCATTAACGTAATTGTCCTCAATAATAGTATGATACCAACGTTTTTCATCTGTATTTCGAATAAATTGTCTAACATCTTTTGGTTTTGATTGTAATAAACTTATTAAATTTTTAAAAGTCCATGTATCTTTTTTTTCAATATCTATATCATTATTCTCAATTACTGTCATTTCAATCCCTTCCTCATCATTTGATATTCTATTATTGTTAGTATTATTTTGTGTTTGCATAAATTTCCCAAAAATTTTTGAATTATAATATAAAATATTTTGATAAACTTCAAACATACCAAAAGGTAAAAAGCAAACTTCACCCCTTGACAATTTTGGTTTTACATTTGGTGAAAGTATTAAATAAAATATTATTAATTTTGCAAATTTTTGTTTGTCTTTTGTTGTAGATGATGAGGTTATTGGTATATCAAATATTTTAGGTACAAGTTTAGCATTAGAATATAATTGTTCTTCACTAACAATATGAATTAATCTGTGTAAAGATTGTGCTAATTCATATTTAAATCCATCCAAAACATCATTTTGTTGACTAGTTAAATTTAATGAATCAATATTATCTTTTGAATAATCGATAGCGTTTTGTTTAGATAGCCTTTTGTTGAATTTTAAATTATTTTTAGAACGGGTTGAATCAAAATTTGAAACTGCTCCAAGAAATGAAGTTCTAAGTTGTGAAATAAATTCATCTAAATGGATTCCTTCTTTTAATTTTATATAATTCATTTCTATTTCTCCGATCGTTTTAATTGTAGGTAATTTAGAAACAGGAATTTGATGTCGATGGTTTTCCATTACTAATATCTCGAGACCATTTCTAATGAAACTTCCGTCAGCATAATATTTTTCATTCCTTGTAACAAATAATCCTGCATAAACGCCATCAGTTTCTAAGTAAGGTATTGATCCTGAGATAGAATATTGATACATCTTTTCTAAATGATTCTGCATTTGTCTTACAGGAATACCAACATTTTGAGCCATAATTGGAGCTATTAATCTGGGATCAGCGAATCTAAAGCCTAGTTTTTGAAAGGTTTCGATAATTCCTTTGTCGCGGGTTTTGGTACAATATATGGCTTCCTCATTATTATTTGAGGATTTGCTGAAACTTTTGATTTGTTTTACAATAAATAACATTTGTCCTTTTCCTTGTGAATTTTGAGACAATGTAGTTGGCGATTGAGAGCGATCATGCATTGAGGAAATTGTAGAAGTTGTTGAAATAATACATGTATCTTCTTTGTTGAGATTTATTTTCTCAATAGGTTTATTTTCGTCAGCTGATGATTCACATCCAGTGAAAAGTATTTGATCGTATAACATCCCAGATTCTATAAGTGGAATGTTTAATGAATCTGCAAGTTGTCGAGCATTTATTATGAATGAACAAATAAAAGATTCGGAACGAGTGATTTTGCGTTTGTTTTGCATTTGTTGAGTATCCATAATGTGTGGAAGGCTTAAAAATATATAAAGATAAATATATATAATACGGCGCAGCAAGTTATTTTATGAAAAAGATATTTATCATTATAAAATTTACCATTTGTCTACGGCCTCCCATTCACTTGTTAGTTGATATATTAAATGAAATACATCATCATCTAAACTCTATAAAAACGAAAAAAAATTTTTAAATATTTTTTTGTACTACTATTTGTTAAAGCTGCAGGTATTAGATCAACTGATTTTGTGTTCTGTTTTACTTCTGCATCCCCCCTCTCCCTCATGGTAAGCATTTTTTTTTTTTATAATGTAATAATAATTTCAATATTCAATATATTTTATAATGATATCTTTTCATTTTTGAAATAAGGTATAAAAAGTTAGGAACTGCCATGTTAATGGGTGTTGCTGTGTGTGGGATGCATTATACTGCATACGCTGGAACCCATTATTATGAAAAAAATGAACCTCCTCAAAACAATTTCCTAAATGATACTTTATTGCTCTGGCGTATGTTAATTTTTTTTTTTTTTTTTTTTAAGTTCATCAATTTAATAAAATATAATTTTTTAAGATTAACATTCTTTTCCGTTACTAATAGTAGAAATTCTAAGTAATGAGATAGTATAATCTTTAATAGTTATATTAGCAAAATCTGAAATCTAGAGAAGAAAACTCAGATACAAAAATATAAGTAAGTTTAATCTGCTAATTGATAACATTAACTTAACTAGACAATTAACTAGATTTGAGAAGATCTGACTATTTGAGAAGTATAAGATATTAATGAAGTTATAAAAAGCTATGACTAGGATTATATAAATACTATAAAAGTCTAATTTAAATAAACTTATAAAATAAATATAGGCTATTCTAGTAGGTTTGCTTTGAGGTTAACTAGCTTTGCAATATTTACAATATATTAGATATAATATAACTTAGAAGAATCTAAGCTAATTTGAGTAAATAGATCTATAATAAGCTAGCTAACTTAAGTTATAATAATATTAGAATTGAATCTGTATAGATTAATAAACAAAATATTTAAATAGATAACTCATAAGTAAGTTATAAATATAGAAGTATAATATAAAACTAATCAGATAGTTTAATTATATGTTTAATAGATTATTTAAAATAGATAATAACTTAAGTTGTATATGTAGTTTGTTGTTTTTTTTTTTAGCAAAGCTAAAACAAAGCTATGTTTCTATCTTTATTGATAATTTAATTAAAAATTTACAAAAAAAATTTATTGAATACTATATAATATAAAGTATAATTTTAAACTATATAATAAAATTTGAAACTCAAACTAATTTATCTGTGATCTAAACCTACTAGAATAGTCATGACTTATTTAGATTTGAATATTAATATTATTATTAATTAGAATACAATATTTGATCTATTCAATAAACCAAATATTTAGTTTGTGATAGGCTAATATTTCTAAAAGTCATAAAGAATTTTTATAATATTTTTTAGAATATCTGTATATACAGATAATTTTATTTGAGTTAAAGTAATTATATATTGAAAGTAAACTTAGTTGTTTATTATTAGTTTGTAAATTTTGTTTATAAAGTTTAATATTATTTATTTGCTTTTATTTAAAGAGTTTAGTATAATAAAGTTGCTATAATTGATTGTATATTAATTCTGATATTTTTATAAATAGAGAAGTTATAAGCTAATAAGCTAATTTATAAGAGTCTATATATATGTATAG